CCAGAGAAGATAAAATTTCAGGTGAACATAGAGAAAATAGAAAGAGGTGATGAAGATTCCTGGCCAACAGCAACAGCAACAGCAACATCAACGACAGACAACAATCAGCCAGCATGATTGGGAGGATTCTGAAAGATGTAACCTCCTTTATCTAACTACCTGGGGAACATGATTTCAACTACATGCGGAACTTACGAGGATTGGCATAGGAATTCAAGCTTTCATTAGTCTTAATTCTCTGTGGAAATCGACAGCACTTGGCATGAAAATGAAAATAAGATCCGGATTTTCAACTTTAATATGAAGTCGGTGCTACAAACTATACGGATCAGGGACTTGGCGCGTCATAAAGAGCATCTGAAACAAACTACAGACCTTCATCAACAACTGTCTTCGCTCAATAGTACTCAAGATCAGATGGCCGGCCAGAAATGTTCAGAAACAGGGATATCTGGCAATGAGCGAACCAACGCAACAGGAAACATTTGTGCAACATATAGGCAGGAAGAAATGGAGATTGATTGGCTGGCCATACTCTGAGGAAACAAGCCATCAAGTGACATCACTAGACAAGCCATCACTTGAGTGGAACCCGTAAGGGAAGTGGCGAGTTAGTTGGTCGTCAGCGTGAGGGTGACTTGGAGGAGGTGATTTGAAGAGGAGATGAAATCATGTGGGCAGACTTGGAGCTATGTGAAAACTCTAGCAGAGAACCGAACGCAAAGGAGACGTGTGGCTGAAGCCCTATGTTCCTCTAGGAATTGAAGGATATAATAATATTAGTCCAGTGTATTCAAAGTTTATTACCAAATATGTAACAGTCACCAGAATTACATTTAGGTTCATGTTCCATGTTTGGAAGTCATCTACGGGAATCACTTAGACCAGGTTTTGCATCTATCGACACCAGACCAAATCAACTCCACCTAGGAGATTTAAATCCACACCATTCAGTACAGAAGTCATTGATTTTAACACTGCGTTATGTTGACTGTGATAGACTATACAATCTGACATGTCCCTGAGTAGTGTGCCTTCTTAATTTGTCTTCCTTTATAAGCCATTTCTTCGACGATAACCAGAAGTAAACCGTTGTGGTGAGTGGTCTAGCATCGTAGGCATATCAGATATGTGATTTCCAAAGTTTTATCATATTTTAGAATCTGACAAGATAATAACCACTACCGTTCAATGATCATCTGTGTATATACTATTTAAATGTATTTCCCTGTAGTTGTAATTAACCTACAGAATTTAGGCTGGAGTTTTACAGTGTTAAGTAAGATTTTAAAAGATATGTGTCGTATTGTTATGTTCTATAACATTTGGGTTAATTTAGCCTATTCATTTAATTGTATATTAGAGTGAATAGATTATTCACCTTTTTCTGTTGGCCTCCATTTGAATTGGGTACAGTTTACTAAAGTTCTTTAAAAAGTCACCTCATCGGGGTAGAGTATTTATTTCTTCAATTTAAGTCACAGAAGGAGATCTCTTTGCTCACTATTTCATACTTTTGATAGTCTCTTTTTTCAATTTATGCCAGTTAGTTACTGTTACTTGAATCTGCTTGTTTCTCTACCTGCTTTAGGGTGATCATCAAGGCCTACTCCTGAAGAGTCCAGAAATAGGACGAAATGTGCATCGAATGGATTCCATTACTGTTATTCTCCAACCATACAAATAAAGACAAATTGATTTTGTTATAAATATGAAAAAGCTAAAAGAGCCCAATATATAATTCTCCACTCTTATCGATTAGCGTAAAATGAAGAAAGTTCGCCTAAGGTTTGAAGAAATAAAGTCTGAATATGAAAATAAATAGGCTACTCATCAATTGAATATCAGTAGTAAGAAGTAAAATAAAAGTGAAGAAATCTGTTTTTTTAGAGTCTGAAGAAAAAGCAATCGGTCTCTTTTAGTATGATGAATAATAAAAAGGTTTATGAACCTGAGCACCTTAAATAAACTTGGTAATGAGCAAAGATATCAGCCAGTGTTCTTTCTTGTCACACAGACCAATGATATTTACCACTATTGACAATCAGCTGGTTGGGTCGGTCAACTTGAAGTCACCCAACGTAAGTGAAGGGGAATCACCTTACCATATGTTAGCAACAATACTGAAATCACCATCAGACCACTGAAATACTTTAGAATATATTTCGCCTATAAACCAACACAGTCACCTCAGAAATGATCACTAGGTAACATTATTTAGAGAACCAGTGTAAAGCTCTTCATCAGAACCACCTCCACAGGGGTTCTAACCCCAGGCCTACCATTTACAAGGCCACTCAGCCACTGGGACCTGATCCAATGGTCCGTGAATTCCGACTTCTACAAATTCTTGATATACATATTTAGTGCGAATGACAGCCATTGGCATCTGTCAGTAACTAACCTCCTGATTGGCTTGGTTGACCCTCACTTCAATCTGTACTTTGTCAGCCTAAGAAGCAACAACACAGACGATAAGACTAACGTCGTCTACGATGTAAATTGCTGCAATTGTGAAAAACACTACATAGGTCAACGTGGTCATCCACATCAACTTTGAATTCAGGATCACAAACCAGCCTTCAAAAGACTTAGTATTGTATTCCTTAATATCAGTACGTATAGAGAACTACGAACATCAGTTCGACGGGAAAATTATTCAAATCTTAGACAATGGAAACACTAAAATTATCGCAGAATTCCTAGAAGTCCGAGATTGGGATGAATCTGAAATAAACAAACATATTGACATAAATAGGGCCTGTCAGGCAATGAAAATAAAGTCATATGGACAAGAGGTCAAAAATCCAATCAATATAATATTCAGTATCAACAAGAAACGAGCAAGTGGAGGAGAAAAGATCCCAGGATAGCCGATCACTCTCACAGTTAACTTGGTGTAGGGGCGAATATTACACCTAAAAGGGAATTCTAAAAGCTTACTGCGTATTGAGGTTAGCGCTAAGAATATCATCTAGAAAGGAAAATATGAAGGCTTCGCAGTCAAGCCATCGATCTCAGAGAAACCAACTACACCAAGACTATTCTTCCACCAAAGCTATCAATCTTTTCTATCATTTCCAATGGTATTTAATGTTAAACATTTTCTGCATATAAAATTGTTATCCATTTAGTGTTTAAATTGAAGCTTTTCATCAAATGAGAAAATTCGGCGTAAGTTCTTTTGCTTAAAAATTGCATAGAATTACTTGGTTTTCATACGGTGGTATTTTGGTGCAGCTAAGTAAACTACAATATAGATTAGTAAGTATTCAGATGTCCCACATGTTGGATGACGTGAAATGTTTATAAAACTGTATACTTCGTTATTTTTATAGACAGCTATTACATCCCGGTTTTGAGCTCTTCACCAGTTGTCACCCATAATCTCACCAGGGATTGAACCTAAAACTTTCAGGTTATTAGGTGAGCTTCTTGATCATTAATTCACTGGTCAATGAATTCTAACCTCAGTTACTTCGTGATATAATATAATTCTATCGGATGGTCGTGAGTGAATGGTCAACGGCATCACCTAGGAACCTGAGGGTCTTGATTTCTATCCTTAATAGTTTCATGGGCACTTACTGCTGAAGTCATTCATAAATTAGGACAAAACACTGAGGCAGTACACTATGGTTTCATGTAAATTTATTTAGCAGCAATAAACGTTCCTCAGTATTCGTGATTGTGGTGGAGTAAATCATGTGAAAAACTTTCGATTGATAAGAAGACCCTGGAAGGTTTGAACTTCACGCATGATGATTTATGATTAATGTCACACAAAATTGAAGAGATGCAAATGGAAACCAATAATTTAGTAGGAGAAATAGTGATGACAGGAGAGTTTGAATGAACATAAAGAAGGTAGAGATGATAAAGATGCCTAGCCAACAACAGCCACAACGACAAGAATCATCAATCCCTTTCAAAAGAATAAATTTAAATGAAGCCACTTCTTTCCCTTATCTAGACAGCATCTCATTCCATTTACAGGCAACATGGATGAGGGTTTTAAAACCAGCCAACCATAGACAAGAAAAGTAAGACAGGGCTTCATTTATCTCAAATCAATGTGAACATCTGTTTCTATCAGCATAGGGACACAAGATTTCAATTTTCAACATCTCTTTTCGTTCAACACACTGAAGATTAGATGACCAATCGAAAGAGATAAGCAACAAGGACTTTTGGCTGTGAACCAACCATGAACCTATTTATCCCTTTCAACAGACATACTAAAGAAAATGAAGATAAATCGAACAAACACACACGCACGCACATACACACACTGAGGAGACCGCTGAATAACATCATATTCAAATCAGGCCATCGAATGAAGCTTAAATAGAAAATAGAGAGTTGAGCGACGGTCTGAGGTTGACATCGTAGAGATGACAGCCTGTGGTTACTCATAGAACCAGCTAAAGAAGTAATGAAGCGAACCGGCTGAAGTTAGAGATATACTATTCAAAATAATATATTCCACACGGAACCCAAGGGAACAATAACAAAAATAATAATGATATTAAGTAATAAAAGTTGTAAGCGCACACACATACACTCAAAAAATAAGCTTTCTTCAGTTATTCTCAGTAAACAAACGGTGGTGATTTCCTTCACTGAGATAACGAAAAATGAGAGGCAAAACAAACAGCACTCGATAGAAGGAGATTAGATTATCTTTCGTGATATATATATACATATATATATATCATAGAGTGAAACCAATAACTTTCCAAATTAAAAATCCATTGGACATAATTTGAAATTTTAGCAGAAAATTGAAATAACTCATGAATACTATTTGTACAATATGTTCTTATATTACTGATGAGAAGTTTCCCCAAATTGTTTATTTGATTAAAATAAATCTTTAAAGCTAAATAAAAGAAGGATGATATACTCGTAAAATAAACCATCTTTTTAGGTAGATAAATATATATGTATATATATACGTATATATAACTGTATATAAAGCACTCTGTTGTAAGACTTACTCCAGCATAGAAGAGTTTATTCTTCAAACGACTATTGAATTTTTCGGGATTAGCTTCTGTAAAGTAAGTAAGCAAGCAAGCAAGCAAGCAGGTGAGCAGGTAAGCAGGTAAGTAAGTCAATATAGAAAGCAAAATAAATAAGGCGCGTGCGCTCGTGCACACACACACTCACATAGAAAATATATAATAGAGATCATAACAATGAGAACAACAAAAAAGCGATGAGGAGAACTTAAGCCCGTAGGTTGCCGGGGGGAGGGGCGAAAGAGGAGGGATAAGGGAAAATTAAATGTGAAAGATGAAAACAACATTCTTTACTCTAATCTTATTACTGCTTGTATAAATGTTAGGCACAATAGATATTACTTATAAATGTAAGTAGTAGTAATAGTAGTGGTGAGTGAGTGACTTGTCGTATTTTTCCAAAAATGAAGAGGGAATTCATAATCAGCACTTGTTTACAAAACAATTTTTGAAATGATGTTGATGAAGCTCAAGGCAATATAAAATATATGCGAATGAACACAGAAATTTTTTTAATAACCTTCTTATTATTACTATTATTATTAGTTCTTTTTTTTGTTTCAATAGCATTTTTCTGAAAATAGAACTCTTTCAGTAATAGAATCTTCCCTGTCAAAAGTGAATCTTGTTCCAGGTTCATTTATTATGTATCGTGGAAAGCATCTATGTATAATTCAATCATAATGACGTTTGTGCTTTTATTGATCAAGAAAAATGAAGGCGCTACTTGAAATTCTCACAGGTTGTTAACAATTTATATCCCTAGTTGACTGTCTCCTACTTTGTGTCATGAATCGATTATATTAGAATATTCATCGTAGTGCTTTCTTTGTTATTGACAAACACAGAAATTCTCCATTGGATTTCGAGTGGAACATAAGGCTTCAGCAGAAGAGTCCTGTTTAGCTGGTACCACGATCACCAAACGCCTCTCATCTTCTGCCCACATGATCTCCTCCATGTCACCCTTGAACCGACCCCCCACTTACTTACTTCTAGTTCAAGTTCGAATAGAGGGAATGCATTGTGTGCAATGCCACTCAGCAGTTTCCTCAACCTGCATCTGGGAAATATCCATTTTCTTCAGGATACTTCTTGAGCAAAAGGTTTCTGGTTGGTTTGTTCCTAGAGTTTCTTGTTGCTAGTTCTTTCTGGCCATGCGTATTTCAATAGGGAGCGAAGGCAGCTGTCTATAAAAATCTGCAGAAACCTATGCGAAATACTTTCCCCGACGAGCTAGCTAATTTTTTGACCCATATAGAAGAACTTCATAACTTAACCTCAATTCGTAGACCATTAAGCCACTGGGACCCAGTCCAACGGCCCATGAATTCCAACTTCTGTCAATTCATTTCATCTCGATGAAATCTTATAACCAGAAAATCAAATCCCTACAAAACAATATTTGAATATCAATGAGGTGCTCATTAGAGACTGGGTGTTTTCAGGTAAGTAGTTACATAGGGTCCTAATGGAGCAATGTGACCAATAGGATGCAGCAGTGTGAGGAAAAATACTCACCGAAGACATTGTTTAGCGGGATGAATTAGTAGAAGTTAGAATTCATGGGGCATTGGATCAGGTCTCAGTGGCTCAGTGGTCTACAAGCTCGCTAGCCTTGTAACCAAAAGATCCTGGGTTCGAACCCGGTTAGGGTGGGTGTGTATTCATTAAGAGTTACAAACTGGGCTGACGAAGCAGCTGTCCAGTACTCCAAGGTTTTCCAATGATTCTTTAACCGATATCAGCTCACGAGGAAATCATGTAACCAATCTAAATCAATTCCCTACAAACCAATATTTGAAAATTACTGTTTGTGCTGAGTGCGAAAGATTTCCAAACCGATTTCAGAGTGATGAAGACCTTCTTTGTCGTTTTGATTCTAGTTTTGATATTTTCACCACCTGTAATTAAAGCAATAGTGTTTAGACAAGTAAAGGAAGTGACCTCTTTCAATTTTCCTGCGTTGACAGTGACAGGTGCTTGTTGTGGTTGGTTGGTTGGTTGGTTGGTTATCTTCATCAACTCAGTCTTCTCTATTATTCACCTGAAGTTCTGTCTTCGCAGTTTCAACTACCAATTTTTTGGTTGTGACTTTTATGTCTTCGATTTTGTGTGACGTTAGACATAAACCATCCGTGAATTCCAAATTTTCTTATCTGTCCAACGTATTGTTTTCCTCAAGTTCCGCACAGTATCTGTAGCATAACCCAGTCCACCATAGTTCGGACTATCATCAGCGACGGTAGGTAGCTTTGTCTTACTCATATTATGAGTGGTAGACAACTACTCATTTCAACCAATCAGTAGTATATAGTTTTATGCAAATATTTTTGTTTTCAAGTATTGATTTGTAGCGGTTTTGTTTGATTGATTGGGGGATTTCATCACCAGCTGACATCATTTAGAGAACCATTGGAAAACCAGCTGTGTGAAGTAGACAGCTGTTTCATCAGTCTAGTTTGGAACTCTTCAGCGGTACTCACCAACCGGCGTTTGAACTAAACTAAACTAAAAATCCTTGCTAACCAATACTTGAATATAAGTGAGATGCTCAATGGAGAGTGGCCCTATTCAGGTAGGTAGTTAGTTACCTGATGTTCTGATAGGAATTCGTGACCACCAGTCGGGTGTGAGGACAAATACTCGCCGAAGATATTGGCTACCGGTTACGCCATATCCTGAATTGGCAGAAGTTGGAATTCATGGGTTGGCCATTGGGTCGGGTCCCAGTGGCTTAATGGTCTGCAAGCTAGCTTGCCTTGTAACTAGAAGGTCTTCGGCGTGTATATACTGCTGAAAAGTCCCAAACTAGGACGAAACCGCTGTCCAGTACTCCCTGTTGGTTTTCCAATGGTTCTCTAACCAGTGTCACCTCGTGATGAAATCCTGTAACTAAACTAAAAACTCTTCAAAACTTATTATAAAAAACCATTCTCTTTTTGTGTCAGTTGTAACTGATCATGCCGTCTTTGTTCACTTGTTGTTGTCGCCCTAAACTATGAACTACATGTCGAACTTCAGCTAATAAAAAATTTCTTCTAAATATATATTCTTATTTTGTTAATACGATGTGTATATTAGGCTGTGAACAGTTGTAGAGAAGCCTCAAAATAGAAGTGTTCATGTTTTGTGTACTATAAATTTCGCTTATTGTTTTGCTTTGTCTAACAGATCATAATAACTTAATTGTTAAGGTTGACTGTAGGCCGTACTTCGATTTCTGCTGTTGTTGCTGTTGTCTCAACTCCTGAGGTGGTTGGTTGTTTTCACATTATTTTGAAATCTCCGTGCATAATTTCTGGCTCAGTGAGCGATGATTAGTAGTTCAGTTTAGAAAGGAAATAATTTCACGGTGATTTAGTGACAGAATGTTCACCAAATACTTACTGGGTCCGAGATTCGACTCCCGGACGACACTCTTCTTAGCCTGATTTATTCAGGAATAAGATCAGTGAAGAGGAAAGGGTGTATTTGAATTCCCCTCGAAAAGTAAAAGGGTGAGAAAATAATAACATTGCAAAACTTCTCAGTTAGATATTATGCTGAGTCAGTCACTACAGTGCACGCGTCTTCTGGACTTTACTGTTAACGTCCATCGCGTAAATAACATGAGAACACTCAGGAATTTACAGCAACATGGCATTCTGTGATCAATATGGTGTACATAATCCACAAAGCAAAAATTTGTAATGAATTGAGCAAGAATCGATACACAGAGTAAAATGTTCTCATGGTTTAAGATATACACCACAAATAACGTACACAATAAGTATTTAGATGCTTAGTGACTGAAAGAGTCTAACTGACTTCAGGATAGATTGTACTGTCAGCCACAATGCGCCAAGGAACTACTGAAAGGAGAAGAGCAGTGTATTTTTAAGAAAGCATAGTTTCTCTTTCACACTAGAGCTTAATCATAAATTCAGAGAAGACTGAAGGATGATGAACGGTAATAAATCCTCCACATTTGTTGGTAGTTGGGGACTTAATTGCTTAAAAGGTAGTCAAGGGATACTTCCAAGGATTTCAAGGTTGTACGGTTTTCCTCAGCTTTCAGCTGTTTTCCACATTAGCTTGTTTATTAGATGTATCATACAGTCAGTGAAACAGTATTATTTACTGGATGACGTTTAGAACAAAATTTATTGTTCATAATCATATCAGTTATAATCACACAACTTTGAAACTTAAGTTTTATAGTTTTCTTTGTCCTCTCTTATTTGTCGTCCTTGGGGGTAGTAGACTATTCCAGATATCTGGTTGGACAGGTGTTGAATCATTCGTATTACATGTATTTGTAGTTGATTCAATAAACAAAGCTTCAGTTATCAATCTCTCCCTCCACTGTGTGACATTAGATTTTAAAACTGTCATCCTATCCCATCATTCTATTGTATGGTTGTGTGTAATTGCATGTAGTGAGTGGTATAGCTGAACTATTCTCTAGATTTCTTATCTTATTCAGATCAACCAATCTAGATTTTGCTAGGTTTTTATGTTCAGCTAGTCTAACTGACTGCCCTTGTTCTACTACTACGACCCATGTATTTGACCTGATAATCTTTGCAGATTATTAGATAAACTAAATTTTTTTGTTTTAAAGGCTCCACTAGCAGGATCTTTTAACCGACTAAGTCTGTTTCTAATTGAGTTTGTGGGTTTGAATGCCACTTATATTCTTGCCTGCCTTGGTAAGAATTCTCCGTAAGGTTTCCGAGGTTTCTTCCTTGTATGGAATTATTACTGACGATTTAGATTCCTTATTGTTGGTGCTGTCATTATCTTTCGCATGTTTGACATGCATGTCGTCATTAATATTATTATTATCATCACTATCGCTAGTATCACTATACATTTTATTTTTACATTTCCTTACATATTTCCTGACTAAATTATCGGGATAATTATTAAGTTTCAAGGCTTCTTTTATCTGTTTATCGAATCAACTGCAAACACATGTAATACGAATGATTCAACACCTGTCCAACCAGATATCTGGAATATTCTACTACCCTAACGACGACAAATA